TGACGGCCTGGGAAGCAGTGGAAAATGGCCCATGTCCTTGGGTCCCTGCTCCAGGCTCTGGGCTCCTGGTTTTATTCTGGCCCAGCTCTGGCTGTTTTGACCAACTGGGGAGAGAACCAGCAGGTGGAAGACCTCTATCTCTCTGCTTCTGTAACTCTGCATTCCAAATAAACAAATCTTTAAAAAAAAAAAAAAAAACTAATCTGCAGGTCTAATCATTTATTAAAATAAAAGGAAAAGACTTAAGGAAAGAAAATCAATATAAAATACCACATTCCAGGCCATCTCAAAGGTAATCAGTTTGTTCCTTTAAAATGAAACTCGTGTTTCTCCAAAACACATATAATTGAGGAAGAGAGGGAAATCTTCACTTGCCAACTTTTTTTTCCTAAAGATTTATTTATTTATTTCAAAGGCAGAATTACAGACAGGCAGAGAGAGAAAGAAATTTTCCATCCGCTGGTGCACTCCCCAGATGCCCACAGTAGCCAGAGCTGCACTGATCCAAAGCGAGGAGCCAGGAGCTTCTTCCGGGTCTCCCACATGAGTGCAGGGGCCCAAGGACTTGGGCCATCTTCTACTGCTTTCCCAGGCCATAGGAGAGAACTGGATCACAAGTGGAGCAGCCAGGACTCAAACCAGTGCCCATATGGGATACTGGCACTGCAGGCAGCAGTTTTACTCACTAGGCCACAGTAGTGGCCCCGTCAACCTTTTTTTTTTTTTTTTTAAATCTCTTGTCTGTTGTTTCCTAAAGGAGATGTGTTATTGTCAGAGGTATGCAAGCATCCCTCACTGATGGACAAGAGCCCTGAAAACCAAGACTGCTCCTGCTGGCTGTGTGTTCTTTTGCTCCCTTCCCTGAGCACAGAGCCAGGACGTCTCTGTTAGCTGCAAGTGGTATTTTACGCTAAGCAGCTTGGACAGAGGTCCTCAAATGTCTGCTGAGTTAAGAACTCGCACCCACCTGGGCACTGACAGCAGTAGGTGGAAAGGCAGAGATACCAGAGGCCAGTGCGGGGTGGGTGGGAGAGACAGATGGAGATCGCCCATTTACTGGCCCCACAACAGCTGGGGCTGGGCCGAAGCAAAGACACAGGAACTCACTCCAGGTCTCCCACACGGTGGCAGGGACCCAGTGACTTGAGTCACCACCTGGTGCCTCCCACTGTGTGCATTAGCAGGAAGCTGGGTCAGAGGGGAAGCTGGGACTCTCATCCAGGACCTCCAATATGAGACACTGGTATCCCAAGCTGCATCTTAACCCAAATGTCAGCCCTTTTTATATTAAAAAAAAAATCATTGTAGAGGCAGAGGAGAGTGCCTGCAATATTCAGGGCTGGACAGGAGCGGAGCTGAGAGCCAGGAACACAGCCAGCTCCCCTGTGGGTGGCAGGGACTCAACCATGTGCGGCATCACTGCTCCTCCTAGGCCTGCACTCCCAGGGAGCTGGAGGCAGGGATGAACTCCAGGAACTTGGAGGTGCGATGCAGGTGTCTTACCTGCGAACTACCCTTTCTGCCCCTCAATGCAATTCAAGTGAGGGACTTCATGGGAAGGGCCCAAGCCAGAACACAAAGCGAAAAACAAACAAAAACACTAGACATAGCGATAATTTTAAATGTGTTTACCACCATAAAAGTTAAGATGTACAGACAAATGTTAATGTGATAGGCGGCATGCTTTCTAAGTATTTCAAGGATTTCATAACATTCCTCTCTCTGAGAAAACTAACATCACTAACAACTTAAGAATGTAATCAAAAATAATACACTACACCAGTCACATCAAAATGTTCATACAGATAACCAGACATCTTGACAAATGAGATTCTTTCTGGGTGATGCAGCAAATACGCAACGCTTTCATGAAAATGAACCAGATATAAGCACTTAAGGCTCTCAAATCATGAACCAATAATACCATAAGGATTTAAAACATTAAATCTCTGTCCAAAATTCCTGTTAAGAAATCTATTTTAGTCTAATTAAGAGATTCTAGTCCTTTAACAAAATAATCCTTAATCTCAGATCCTTGTTAAATAGGGCAAAAGGCAGATAATTAAAAAACAAAAACAAGTTAATGAACAAAATGGACAGAGAGAAGTAGAAAATAAAAGAATTTGGGACTGCTTCATTCTCACAAGGGTGGAAAAGGAGAGAGCTCCACTTTCTAGTGGCTCCTGGGCTGCTCCATGTTGTGTCTTGTGGAACCCCAGCAGACGCCGCTGCACAGAAAAGCTTCAGGCTTCCCTGAGTCACTCGAAGGAGCCAAACAAGGAGAAAATGTGATGGCAACAGCCGATAACCACAGGGCCTTTCTAAGAAACAAACACCACTTCCATTCAAAGTGAAACAAAGATGCAAGACAAACTACCCAGATTGATACCAGAGAGGCTCCCAGCTAAAACAGTAGAGGAAGAAAACAAAATAAATAAATAAAACAGAAGACCGGTGAGAACCAGTGCTAATTTAGCTGTTAGCTATTTTTAAGTCATTCCAAAATACTGATGCTGTATATCTCACGTTTTAGAATCTTCTGATTTTGATAAATTAAAGGAAGAGAAAAAAAGGCAGTTACAGCTAACTCAGGTGGAGTCAGACAGGAAACAGTCATCTGTGATCTTGGGGGAAAGCCTAGTTTGAACCTCATGCTCTACAGCCTGATAGCATCATTTCTCAGCATCCTAAGCAATGCACTACCACCACCACCACCACTCCTTTTCAAGAAATAAAAATTCCGCCTTTGAAACCTGAAACCGTGCGTTCAAATGACACGGTGCCAGGAGACGTGAATTATAATCTTCAGTAACAGTAGCTAAGAGCATCGCAAATAACCAGTTCAGAAACCTCCCACGGGGTAGGGAAGGGAGAGGGCAGCGTTCTGCTCACCGTTCTCGACGTGTGCGAGCCTGTGCATGAGCGGCAGCCAGACAAGGCACTGGGGCGGAGCGTCGGCCATCATCGTGTCTAGAAACGTGTTGAGCATTACCTTCTTCTGCCAAGAGAACAAAAGCAAACACGCTTCAGAGCCCCCAGGCACCTGCACACGCCAAGACCAAGCTAAATCCAGACTCCGCCATGTTTGAAAATTGCACGTGAAATTTTACAGCAAAATAAAACACCAGGCACTACACCATGCATTGACACTACTATATTCAAACCTGTTTCTGTGTACATTATTTGAATTTTTATTGGCTCTTTTATAACTTATTTATTTGAAAGGCAGAATAACAGAGATCTCCCACCCGCTAGTTCATTTTCACTCCCCAGGTGGATGCAACAGCTGGGGGTGGGCCAGGCCAAAGCCAGAAACCAGAGTCTCTATCCTGGTCTCCCAAATGGGAGGCAGGGGCCCAAGTACTCCGGCCATCTTCTGCTGCGTTCCCAGGCATGTTATCGGAGAGCAGCGTCAGAAGTGGAACGGCTGGGACCTGAACCGGCGCTCTGACACAGGATGCTGGTGTCCCAAGTGGCAGCGTAACCTGCTGTACCACACCAGTTCTTCTTGTTTTTTCTTATTTTTTTTAACGCTTCCACATACATTTAAAAATGTTTCTTTATCTTTTCTCTTATTTTCAATCTGAGAGGCACAAAGACAGAGGAGAGACAGACACAGAGTGTTTCTGTCTATTGGTTCCCTCCGCAAACGCCTGCAACAGCCAGAGCTGGACGAGGGAGCCAGGAACTCAACGCAGGCCTCCCGCAGGAGAGCTGTTAGCTGCTGCCTCCAGGGATCTCAGTGACAGTGAGCCAGACTCCAACACGGGATACGGTTATCTCAGCAGGTAGGCCAAACACCCGCCCCTTTTATTTCAATCTTTCCAACAACTGTATAAGGTAGACAGGCTAGGTAGCTTCATTCTACAGATGAGAAAATGAAAGGACAATCCAACTCCAATCAGACGGCAGGGCCTTGAAAGTACTATTCTAGCTACTGCACTGGCGAGACAGAGATCCACACCTGGCTACGAATCAAAGGCCACCACGGGCAGCAGGAGCCACTGGCGTGTGGCCATCCACCACGTATGCGGCTTCCACAGCAGTGGCCGGCACACAACGGGCCAAGTACTAAGAACCAGAGTGAGCGGCGAGGCCTCACTCTGGAAAAGAAAGGCCTCACTCCCAGAAAAGAAAACAAACCCAAGGTGGTAGAGACAGGCCTCGACAAGCCTAGGACCCAACACCCACAAGCCCCCGCGGCAGCCCCGCCACTGCCCCACCTCCCTGACTGCTTCAGCCTTCTTTTCTGCGAAACTCACACCCTGCACGTGAAACACGCAAAGAATTAGTTCCCAGCTGGGCGCAGAAAAGTTAGAAACCTCTAGAGACAAGACAGAAATAGATTTATTTGAGGCAGATAAATTCTCAACCATTATTTCAGACGAACAAAGTTTCTTTTTATTTCTTCCAACCCACAGAGCGCCTTTCCAGCTCCCAGGGAGAGGAGCTGAGGTCTCCCAGGAGGTGGGCTCAGGACGACGGCCCGGCCCTCGTAGCCCAGCGCAGCCGCGCAGCCACTGGAGGAGGCCTGGTGCTGGTGGAGCTGTGTTCTTGGCTCCGCCACTTCCCTTAATGTAAAGAAGAGGCTATTAAAAATATGGGCGTTTCCTCATAAGACTAAAATAATTTTTCAAGAGAAAGGTGGAAGAGAGGTAAAACTGGTTAGCAGATTTTGCCAGTTCATTACAAAATAACTTTGAATTTTTTTATTTTACCACTAATACTTCAATACAAACAGGAAGCAAGGAGGGAGGGCATCCCTATCAGGAAGACAGAGCCCTCAGAGAGTAGAAAGGAGGTAAAGGAGAAGGCAGAGCCGGAAAGAGGCTTTGCAATACAAACCTGGGGTGACGGCACTGACGGCACACAGAAGAAAAGGCTCAGACACAGGCCAGGACCCCAGGCTGGCGCTGACAGGTGGGGGGCGGACGGGAGGGCCCTGCCACGTCTCAGCACGCCGAGGCTGAGCCGGGAGGATCGCCGCCTCCAGCCTGCCCAGGAACAGGTGTCCACGGCACCTGCTCACTCCTGCTTCGGAGACCTCGGGGAGCCCAGGAGCAAAGAATGAAGGAACAAGGCTGGAAACCAGACGCCGCCGACCACTCGCACGGAGGACCCGGTGTGGATGGCGCCTGGTGTGATGGACGTGAAGCACCCGTGCACTCAAATGAGATCCGCAGTGTCCATTTCAGATCACTGACGTGGGAGACCCAGAGGAGGCTCCTGGCTCCTGCTTCAGATCAGCGCAGCTCTGGCCGTTGCAGCCACCTGGGGAGTGAGCCAGCAGATGGAAGACCTCTCTCTCTTTCTGCCTCTTTTTTTTTCTCTGTGTAACTCTTTCAAATAAATACATAAATATTTTTTAAAAAGTTATTTATTTATTGAAAAGTCAGAGTTGAGGGGGGAGAGAGAAGGAGAGAAGAGGAGGGAGGGAGGGAGGGAGGGAGGGAGGGGGAGAGAGAGAGAGAGAGAGAGAGATACGTCTTCTATCCACTGGTTCAATCCCCAAATGGCCACAACAGCAAGGGCTGGGCCAGGCTTACTGAACAAGCACAGGAAAGCAGACTGGCTCTTTTCACACACACACACACCCTTTTTGCTTTGTTTCTAGTTTAGAGTTGAACACATTCTTTCCATTCCTCATTTTTTATAGCACGATACTGATTATAACAATTATAATAAAAATGCAAATGACATTCTCACAATTTTCATTTTAATTTATTTCCACCCAGATGTAACTATCTCCCTACATAATTATGAACATAGGGTAGATACAAGCATATAATTTGATTTTTTTTTTCAAAAAAAGATTTATTTATTTATTTGAAAGGCAAAGTTACAGAGATGCAGAGGCAGAGAGAGAGAGATCGAGTGATCTTCCATCTGCTGGTTCACTTCCCAAATGGCTGCAATGGCTGGATCTGAGCTGAGCCAATCCCAAGTCAGGAGCCAGGAGCTTCCTCTGGGTCTCCCACATGGTGCAGGGGCCCAAGGACTTGGACCATCCTCTGCTGCTTTCCCAGTAGCATCAGCAGGGAGCTAGAATGGAAGTGGAGCAGCTGGGACTTAAATGCCCATATGGGATGCCTGCACTGTAGGCGGGGGCTTTACCCGCTACACCACAGCGCCAGCCCCAATCTGTGTTTCTCACTTAACATTTTACTATTTTATTCTGTACAAGGTCTTCACTGCCTGTCCACTGAGCAAATCCTGTGCCTTCCTCTGTGAAGCGCTGAGATGGTCTGTACAGGGTCTCGAGGTTTCTCTTAGAAACGCATGTTTCCGTGGTCGCCCCTTGTTCTTCCAACCCTCAGGACCTATAATTCTTACCGACAGGCCATTCTCACCTCCCTTCCTCCTCCCCTGACTAGCTCCCTCCCTTTTTTAAAAGGGGGAGGGGGGAGCAGGGAGACCATTTCCTACAAATGAGAAATCCAGTATCGTTAAACTAACGTGAGAAATCAAGTAAAGTGATTTAGCAAAATATTATCATGAGAGCTGGCGCCGCAGCTCACTAGGCTAATCCTCTGCCTTGCGGCGCCGGCACACCGGGTTCTAGTCCTGGTCGGGGTGCCAGATTCTGTCCCGGTTGCCCCTCTTCCAGGCCAGCTCTCTGCTGTGGCCCGGGAAGGCAGTGGAGGATGGCCCAAGTGCTTGGGCCCTGCACCCCATGGGAGACCAGGATAAGTACCTGGCTCCTGCCATCGGATCAGCGCGGTGCGCCGGCCGCAGCAGCCATTGGAGGGTGAACCAACGGCAAAGGAAGACCTTTCTCTCTGTCTCTCTCTCTGTCTACTCTGCCTGTCAAAAAAAATATATATTATCATGACTGCAATTTCTAACTTCTTCATTCCCAATCAAAACTCTTTCCTGACGTGCGGCATGACATTTCTTACCTGTGGCCCTATCACTTAAACAATGAAAGAGATTTAGAGATGAGTCTTGAAAATGACATTTTTAAAGCTCTCAGATTAAAATATTTTTATGCAAACTTTTGTGCAGAGCTATAGGAATAACTTTTCTGGCAAAGGCAACCATGTATCACCCAGAGTCGAAGGACCAGGTCCCTGAAACCTATTTATTCTGGACTTTGAAAATAAGGGTAATTTGTAATGACACAACTACATAATGCTGCTGTGCTTCTTATGAGAGATATTTTTATTTATTACAGGTCAAAGACTAGGAAAGTGCTCCAGAAATTCCAGAATAGTTTATTTTCCTGCAATAGTTTGTTGCTAAGACCGTATCATTTGAGGAAACTGCACAGCAACACTGAAGAAGACAAGGAGAATACGAGTACATCCAGGGGCCCAAAACTGTTCTCATGTCATGTGATTTAAGATCATATCTGATTAATCCAACAAATGTTTAGGAAACATCATCATCTTACAGTCTTATCAGTCATCGGGGCTGTAAAATTGAAGGTGACCAAAATCATTCAAGGCGTAACTGAGTTGCATGTAACATGCCTTGTAAGGGAAAGTGCTGGACCCCGATAAAGCTGGTCCAAGCCAGCCTCTGCACTTGACCCCTACTCAAGTTCCACCCAGGGTCCTCTGCAACACTAATGCAATGTACCGTAGCTTGATGAGGTAACAAACTGCAACCTAATAAGAGGATACCCTTGTAAACAAGCAACTGAGTCTCAGCCAATCACAGACTGCCAACTGAGCAGGACATGTCCATATAAGGCAAACGTCCACTGCAGACTATCAGGCTGTTTCTGCACATCACTCTCTTTTCTCTGGCTATAAAGACAAGAAGCACATGTGGCGGGGAGGGAATGCAGCTGCCGGGTTCTAGAAGATTTTTCTTTCTGATTGAACTGGTCTCAATTTCTAACAGGAAACAATCAATCCTACATTAAAAGACTAAGCATCAAGGAAGTGGGGATGCTTTCGCCAGGATTGAAACCCCGAGGACTCTGGGGCAGGCGTTTGGCCTAGCGTCTCCGGACTCCAGCTTCCTGCCGATGCAGGTCCTGGCAGGCAGCAG